AGGTGGAAGTAGAGAAATGGATAAATTGACATGGATGGAAAAAAAGGAAGAGGGAGAGGATGATGATGGATAGAAGAGTGATGAGGTGGAATGAAGAGGAAGAGGAAGAGGTAGGTAGATAGTAAAGGGAAAAAGAAGGGAGGAATGGAAACCACAATGAAAGAGGAGGGAAAGAACAAGAAGAGAGAAGAAGAGAAATAGGTACGAAAAATATAGAAAAAGGTAGAGGAGAGGGAGAGAAAGATGAAGAAAAGAAAAGAAAAAAAATAGGGGTTGGCATGGAAAGGAACAATTAAGGAATTAGTGGGGAATGGAAAAATTGAATATTGCAAACATTTTAGTTGGAAATAGGTAGAAAAAAGAGATTAGCTATTGAATACCTTATTATGCAGTCAACATTAATACTAAAATCATCATTTTATATTCCCAGGTACATCTGTGAAAACTTGGAAAACTGTAGTCAATTTTCTCCAGACTTGATTGTGGAAGTATCACACCCAATTATATCAGAAAAGGTTAGACTTAAAGTGATATTAAAACTGTAGTTATGCAGTTTAATACCATTTGGATTGTTTGCAAATTCCCTTTTATAGTACTTTATAATAGTAATATTCAGTTTTCAAAAACTTCTTTGACAGTTGGCAGTTAAATGCAAAGTTGCATTAGTTTGACAGTGTATCAGAAAATGGTTCTAATTAAATTTATAACTTAATTTACATAGAGGTCATTACAAACTAACATCAATTTTCTTGCAGTATGGACCAATGTTCTTGAATACTGCAGACTATTTAGTCGGGTCACCCACAGCTCTAGCTTCACAACCCGTTGAAGATGCACTGCGGGCTGCGGCAACCTCCCATGGGCTCTATGTTCCAGCTGGAGCTTTTTGGGGTGCAGAAGATATACTCAAGATGGCTGATAGAGGGACACTGAAGGTTTATATCTTTTTACTGTTTGGGGGGAATCATACACTTCCTTGTGCTTCAGAATTATTCACTTTTTAAGGTCATGGAAATTGTAGAAATTTTAGATGTTTTTTTCTTGTCTATGAATTATTAAATTTTTAAGGTCATGCATATTATGGGAATTGCACATGTTTACTTGTTTAAGAATAGTCACTTTTTAAGGTCATACAAATTATAATTTCTTTTATATAAATAAAAGAGTGAAGGATCCAAACAAAATGGAATGAATATGTGGTATTGAAATTAGAGAGGGGATGTTATATTCATTCTCATGCAAATCTAACATTTACATGAGATAATGATATTGATCATGACATTATATAAAGAAATGTTTTAGGTATTTATATATAATCTAAACTCATATTCATGCAAATAGTTAAAAGTCATTAAACATCACTACAAAATCTTCTTGTAATAAAATGCTCTTTCCTCTTGCCAAGAAAAGCTAAAGGTAAAGTGCAATATCCTCCATGCAAAGGTTGCATTATAGAAACTGTTTCCTTACAGGGACTAAAAGTTACCATGAAGAAGCATCCAAGTTGCTTCAAGTTTGAAGGGGAACTCAAAGCAAAAAATGAGCAAATTTGTGGCTCTGAAGCAGTAACTCTCTATGATGGACCTGTACGAGGCCTTTGTCCCCTTGCACCCAATAATGTTAACACTATGGCAGCTGCGGCAATGGCAGGACATAATCTGGGCTTTGATGTTGTGCAAGGTTGTCTAGTATCTGATCCAAAGTGAGTATTGTGCAATCCTTTCTTTATTTTTTTTTATTACTACTACTGCATTGATTGTTCAGGCTGTTATTAACAACTTTACCATTTATCATTTGATACTCTTATAGTGTAAATTATTTTGGCATGCTTATATGCATCATGTATATGCCTTTAATGTACACATGCTTTGGAGAGAACTAACTTCAACTTTTCATTTCATAATACTTAAATCTGAGAAATAATATAAATGAATAAAGTGGACTGTGTAATATTTGTTTTCTGTTATCATCTTGGTAATGAAAATCCTTTTATCAGGCTCACAGACTGGCACATAGTAGAAGTCGAAGTTACAGGACCACAAATAGCAGGAAGGAATTTCACTGTGAAAACCACCCGTAATAACCCAGCTGACCCGGGAGCTGTTACTGGTAGTGCAACTTACGGCTCCTTCCTCTCTTCTGTGGTGCGGGCTGGTGGTCGAGGACCCGGGGTTCACCTCTGTTAATTTGGAAAAAATTACAGCCAAGCCCTTGCTAAAAGTATTTTTTGTTTCTCATTGTTATGGTGTTTGAATTACAGTGATTGAATGTTGTGTGTGGTTTTATTGCCATTAACTTTGATTTTTGCTATTATTGCTGCATCTTTGGGAAATGTGTCTTCCTGAATGGCTTATGACTTTTCTTTCAGTGTGATACATTATGACTATTGGTATATCTATTGATGTTTATTCAATATGATAATTTTGAAAATAAATTTGTTATAAGTAAAACATGATTCCTTGCAGCTTTTATCTGAAATGCTAGTATGTTAATTTCCTTAATGTAAAAATTAGTGAATAATAGCTAATTTTAATGTGTTTAAGTGTCTCAGCTGAGGGCCTAATTTTGTATGCTGCACATTTTACTTCTTTCACATTAAAATTATATTATATAACAATTTACAATCTTTGTAATTCCTACATGAAGATTATTTTCTAAAAGGCATGACATCTTCAGTTCTAAGAAATGCAAATGTTAACCAGATAATATTCAAATGTATTAAAATAATGTGAAAGGTTTCCACTAGAAATATTGTATTAAGAATTTTATTTATTGGAAATTTTCAGCTGCTTCAACATCTAAGGTCATTAGCAGCGTATACAAAATACAGCAATAGGGTAAGGCTTGAGGGCAAAGACCCCAGGTAAGGAAAGGTTATACAGCTTTATGACAAAGTATTGCAGCAAAAAGATTAAAGAATGAGTTAATAATTAGGACAAAATAAGTTAGATGTCAAAGGTTGCAGAGAACTGTAGGTTAGTATGGTAGTGAAAAGGGTAAGAGGGAATGGAGTACGAAGGCCAATCAGGACTGACAAAAAGCCAGCCTTTCATCCTTTTAGCACGGCTCCCACACTTTAGGATGTGGACAGAACAAGGGGAAGAAGAGAAGGAAAAAGAAAGGTGGAGAAGAAAAGAACACGCTAAATGAGTTGAGGGGGAAGGGGGCTGAAGTGTAAGGTAGGGGTGATCTCCCACATTGGGCCCCAGTCTCTGTCTCCTAAGCCCTCCGTGGCACACAAACATGGGATTAGGGGGGTATATTAAGAATTCTATTTACTCTCCTCTAATCTAAATAGTATGCCATCATCTAATCTTGATTTATCACCTCAAAAATAATGAAACTACTTTAATAATAATACGTAGAGAGATATAAAGAGATATTTTTATATTCCTAAAATACACAAATTACAACACTTTCTCATACATGGTTTAGTATTCAGTGATTACTTCTCCTGAAGTTACAACTCAAAGTGTCCTCCAGCATTTTCCTTATTTCCATTTCTTAAATAAACAGGTGCATTTTCAGCAGAGCTCTTACTGATCTGGGCAGGAAATTTGGGTGTAACTTGACAGAACTTACTTTCATGTTTATCAGTGGTGTGATTTTTACTCTGATACACTTCTTCCTTTGTGCACCCCCATGATAAAAATAATTACATGGGGCTAGGTCTGGAACTACATAGACCCCATTCTGTAGGCCCCTAACATCCAGATAAGTACTCACTGAGCTAATCCCTAACAACAAGGCCAAATGTGGGGGAGCAACATCTTGCCTAAACAGCAGCTTATATGCCTATTCTCATGTAGAAATAGTGACCACATGAATATTTATAACACTTGTAAGTAATATCTAATTTTCATTGTATCCTGCACTGTGAATACAAAAAAAAAACACTGAAAATTAACATAATATACTAGTAGTATCTGTCCTTATAATGAAAGATGGGTTTAGCAAATAAGCTCACTTTCATTATTCTATCTTTAGACTTCATCTAACTTCACAATGCACATTAGGAGACTTTGATGAGGCCAATAATGGCAGAATAAATATAGCAGTACAAGAAGTATTGTCCAATTAAACAACCTGTGAAATACTACCCTTTTCTACTATAACAATGAACCTGTCCAAGATCCTTCTCCAAAAGACTTCATAATCATGTCATTATCCCAGGCATATAGACAGGCCCCTTAAACTGTGCAAGGATCGAGAAAGTATGCACCCATGACAGACAGCTGGAAAGTGCAAGTAAAAAGAGACAAGCATACCAAGAACAGTATAATACATGATGACTTTGCAAAACCACTAAGGATTCTTCATTAAACAAAACAAAAACTGAAATGGATTTCTCTTCATCTATGGATTAATCATGTCTCATTCACAGTGCCATGGCTTGAAATATTCTGGCAGATTTACATGATGGAGACCTAATGAAGAGCAATAACAGCAAAGCATGGCTACTCAAGAAGGTATCACCACTTAAGATCAAAACTGCATTGACCAGATTGCAGCAAGTTAAACTATTACAGAATCCGACAGACTACTTGAGAAGGTATCACCACTGAAGATCAAAACTGCCAGACTGCAACAAGTTGAACTATTAAAGGATCTCCAAAGGAGGAAGATTAGAAGGCCAACTCACTTGCATGTAAAGTTGTAGTTAAGAACATACAAAATGTCTACCAAAGTTTGGTTAGATGTAATGTTGTGATCTTCCAGAATTATGTACAGTATATACTGTATATCTCTAACATCAGTCTCTGAGGATAAAATTATATTTGTGTTTGCATCATATACGAAATGGTATCTGCTGTGTTCATTGCAACTTGATATATTTGGACATCCTTGAAAAAAAGAAAAAGAGAAAAGAGAAAACAGAAAGGAAAGAAAATGATGAAGAAAGAAAATACAGTATACCATTCACAAATGCTGCCAGAATGTATGACATCTTTGATGAATTCTTCATCATCTTTGATGAAATTCAAACTTTAGTGCATCAAGATACTCATGATGACATACATTAGGTATCCAGGAACAGGAAGCTAGAAAGAAACTCGAGAATATAATATACAAAGTTCATTCTCCTTACATACTAAGTACAAATAATATCCATCAGACCATGACAACTTCAGGAGCTCAATCTGAGTGAAAATGAAGTTAAGATTCACAGGGAAACTGTAGCAAAACAACGATTCAAGACATACATAAGAATCACTTTGATATGGTAATGTGACAACTTATACTCCTTTTACTCTATTCTGCTGATTACCAGCCTTTAGGATAATTTCTCAGAGTAATCCCAAATAGTAAACTCTTTCCATATGGCTCAAGCAATGCCTAATTTACAGTAATCTATTTCACATTCTAAAAATAATATAACCAAAAATTAAATAAAACAAATCAAAAACCAAACAAAAAGACTGTTCTGTTGAAGGAAAGAGTTGCAAACATTCTTACTGCATGGGTAACATCCTCTTCCATTTCTCTCTCTTGTTTCTTCCTTTCTGGCATTTTCGTTACAGTTTCCCTTATTCTGCTCTGAATTTGGTCTTTTCCTCTTTCTCCTGATTCTTTTCTCATCTTATTTGTGGGTTCTTGATCACTCTCCTCTGACAGGGACCATCAAAAAGGTAAATATTTGCTTATGTTGGAGATCTCATTTTGGAATCCATGGTCATGCTGTTAAAGAAATTAGAGGAAAGGAGATGATACATACTAAAGAGAGATTATTGCTTTGATATTGCACTTTTATCCGTTGAGTAATATTGCTGCAAAAATGTATGCTCCTGAAGATAAATCAATGCTTCCTATCTGAGTATTCTTAACAATTATATATAGCATTTACAATATCCTCTAACAAAATCATGTTGTATATCTAAGCATCCTTATATTTATTTTTTTATATAAAAAAGCTAATATCAATCAACATATAATGATGTCACCTCCATTGTGTGAGTTTTACAAAAACTCTGACAATCTGTTGTTTAAAAATATACATACACATGACAATCTCAAAAATAATTTTCTTTACAAGTAAAATACTGCTATACTATACTATACTAAAATTTAATGAAATAAAATGTTGGCATGCTAAAACATTGTTTGATCATACATTTAGCAACATAATTAAAATATGGAACCTATGCAAAATCAAGATAATTCAAAATTAAGAATACATAAATCTCCATAGCCAATACTCACAACCTTAAAAATACTACTTAAAATTATTTTATTCTGAGATTATCTGACAACCTCATTTTGAGAAAAATAAATCTTATACATTATATTTCTTTTTTCTTAAAAATATGTCTGCACTTTCTCCACTGCCCTTGTGGCCTTGTACGAATCAGTGCTCTGGCAAAGACCAATAAATTCCAGCAAGGTATGTCTTGCATACCTAATTGGCAATTCATCTGTAAAAAAGAAACAATTTAAAGCTCTGTCTTTCCAAAATACACAAAGTTTAATCTTATTTTGTTCTGCTGGAGCTCAGAGGCCGTGGTGATCGCCTGATAAAAAGGGTCCATCACAGGTTACAAGTTTCAGTTAGATTTAGATAAAATCAAATTGATATGATTACAAGAAACTGTACAGCTTTAATGACTAAAGCTGCCGATTTTAAATATAATTTTCTTTAACCTTTTGATACACAGTAATGTTGGTGACTGTGAAGATAAGAGTACGTTTTTAAGTTAATAAAACATCAAATTTAACGACTAATATGTTTTTAAAAAACATTTATCTCCTCCAAACTAACACTACAAATCTATGGCATTTATATCAGTTCACCTGTACTGTCCATGCAAGAAACATACAAATAATAAAGATAGTGCTACAAAATATACCATAACCTCAAACACAAAATAAAGGAGATGGAATCTTTCACTTTTTGAAGGTGATGGCCATGGGGCGATTTAATACAATAATGAATTTGAATTAATAATCCGAATCGTGGAATAAAAAGGATTAACAGTCCCCTCTGCCAGAAGGATAAGATTCAGATGGTATTGATAAATAGATTAATCGAGTTATATTATCATCTTTGTAAGGAAGTTTAAATCCTGTGGTAATATATTGCTTTCTCAATAAACAGTTAAAATTACCGTGCACATTTATATTCATATCTAATTGACTTGAGCAAAATAAACGTTCAATTCCACTATTATTGCTAAATAAATATAAATATACCATTAATCATTAATTAATTTAATGTGAGCTTCATAATAATTGTCCCTCTTAAAAGTTCGTTTTCTTTCAGAGGTGTACGAGTCTG